AGCAGAGCGAGGAATTGTTTATATTGATGAAATTGACAAGATTGGTCGCAAGGGTGATAACCCCTCTATTACACGCGATGTAAGTGGTGAAGGGGTGCAGCAATCATTACTAAAACTATTAGAAGGAAGTGAGGTATTAGTACCCCCCGAGGGCGGACGTAAACACCCCGATCAGAAAATGGTGAAAGTCAATACTCAAAATATTTTGTTCATTTGCGCAGGAGCCTTTGAAGGTATCGACAAAATGATATCTCGCAGAGTGCAGACAACAGCTATTGGTTATAATGCCATCAAAACGGGTAATGAACTAGACCGTGCCAACCTCTTGCAATATGTAAATGCACAAGACTTACGCAGCTTCGGTTTGATACCCGAATTACTTGGTCGATTACCCATAGTTACCTACCTCAACCCACTGGATAAAGATGCACTTAAACGCATACTTACCGAGCCCAAAAATGCCCTTATTAAGCAATATACGCGACTCTTTGAACTAGAGGATATAGCACTTGAAGTGAGTGAAGAAGCATTGGATTATATGGTGGACAAAGCGATTGAGTTTAAACTTGGTGGTCGCGGCTTACGTGCTATTTGCGAGATGATACTTACTGATGCGATGTTTGAATTGCCCTCGCAAGAAATCAAAGACAAACACTTTGTATTAGACAAAGAATATGCTATGCAGAAATTAGAAAAGTCTAAGCTAGGATTAATATCGGCTGCATAATAAAATGTAAATAACCTCAACAAAATAACAATGGAAGACTTAATCAAAAAACTAACTGAAAGCGCTGGCATCAACGAAGAACAAGCTGCAAAAGCTATTGAAACTGTAGTCAATTTTATTAAAGACAAACTACCACCAATGATGCACGGTGTGGTAGATAATTTTATTGGTAGCAGTAACGATGCTTCTGACGACGGTATTTTGTAATCCAAACATTATTCAATAAAGTCCCCTATATCAAATTTGATATAGGGGACTTAACATGAAACGTATTTTAAGCTATAGCATGAATATGCTTAGGAAGCATAACGTTTAAATGGTGCCATTCCAATATTGCTCTGCCTTTGCAAAGGCATTAGCACCAACTTTTCTTCCTAGTTCTAATCCTGCCACGTTACCCTCGTAAAAGTGAATCCCTCCATAGAGTCTTGACTCACCTGCGTCAAGTGCTGCTTCAGTAAAAGTATTCCATCGCATGGTAATCCCAACTACATCTTCAGTAGGGTCTGCCGCTAATGGTTTTGTTTGCATATAGAAATACCCAAAGTTATC